CTTTATTTATAAAGCACTTTCAGACAAAGTGCTTCATCTGCGTTTTGCAAACCTTGCACACAGTGAAGCTCATGTCAGTAAAAACCAAAATAGCCCAAATCTTTGCATTCAGTGAAGATGGGTTAAATCTCTCTTTCCTCCAGTTTTGAAGTTTGCTCTTTGTTCTGGTGCTTTCTCTGCATGCATACGGTCCAGAACCAGCTGCATGGTGACGTCAGGATGTCTCATGTGGTTACAAAGTGGAGGCCGACAGCCATTGGATTTGATTTATTTTTAAAAATCAATTTTGGGACATTTTAAATCGATACTGAATCTTTGTAAATGAGAATCACGATTCTGGTGTGAATGGATTTTTTGGCCCGCCCCTACTTGTGGGTGAGCAGCAAAACCTTGAGGTCTGCAGGAACCTGACAGGGCAACCAGTGGAGRRACSACAGWACWGGGGTAATGTGCTCGTACTTCCTGGTTTTGGTTAGAATTTGAGCAGCCACATTTTGAAACGTCTGCAGACCTCTAAAACATTTCTTTGATAGCTCAGAGAGAAGAGCTTTGCAGCATTTGATGTGTGAATGCATGGATGAGAATAAATGAAAGTAATAAATGAAAGTACACATCTAATTTTTAATATGTTCCTAAGATGATAAAACACGGTCTTTGTTCCCTCTTTTAGATGAGACTCAAACGAGAGCACAGGGTCAAACAGCACGCTCAACTTCTTGACTTTTTACCTACATTATGATCATCAGTTTTCAAACTAAGGGTTTGGAACAAGTGTTGGAGTTTTGAAGGCCTGATAATCATGAAATCAGTCTTATCAGCTTTGAGAAGCAGGAAGTTATTTGAGAACCAACGCCTAACTGTAGATAAGCAGGTATGGTCAGCGCAGGTTCCAAATGTAAAAGGCGTACACAGCTGCAGATCGACAGCATAACAATGAAAGGCTGCATTAAACGWATTAGAGAAAATAGCAAGGGGCCAAGTACAGAGCCTTGAGGGATCCTATACCCCACAACATGATTGTTTTCTGTAGGAGCTCAAGATAAAATACAACTTCACTCAAATCTCCCCACAGTCCTTCCAGACACATTCTGTTCTGTAACAAGAGAGCAGCTCATTGTGTTCCTAAAGAGGCCTGAAGACCCCAGCAAGACCCCATCAAGACCCTGCAAAGACCTCACCAAGACCCCATCAGGAMACTGCAAAGACCTCACCAAGACCCAACCAAGACCCAGAAAAGACTTCACCAACACCCTGCAAAGACCTCACCAAGACTTCACCAAGACCCCACTAAGACCCTGAAAAACATCACTAAGATGCTGTAAAGACTTCACCAAGACCCTGCAAAGACCTCACCAAGACCCTGCAAAGACTTCACCAAGACCCTGCAAAGACTTCACCAAGAACCTGCAAAGACTTCACCAACACCCTGCAAAGACCTCACCAAGACCACAACAAGACCCTGCAAAGACCTCACTAAGATCCCACCAAGACCTGCAAAGACCTCATCAAGACCCCACCAAGACCCTGCAAAGACCTCACTAAGATCCCACCAAGACCCTGCAAAGACCTCACCAAGACCCCGCAAAGACTTCACCAAGACCCTGCAAAGACTTCACCAAGACCCTGCAAAGAACCCACCAAGACCCTGCAAAGACTTCACCAAGACCCTGCAAAGAACCCACCAAGACCCTGCAAAGAACCCACCAAGACCCTGCAAAGACTTCACCAAGCCCCTGCAAAGACCTCACCAAGACCCCACCAAGACCCTGCAAAGACCTCACCAAGACCTCACCAAGACCCTGCAAAGACCATCCACATTCTGGCTGCCTCACTTGCATCACATCATCCTGCAAGAAGGAGACCCAAACAATCACAAACCTGTGCAGAGATCCTCATTTTTTCACTTATACCAGAATTTACTTTTTAAAAACAGATTTGTTGAGCTCTGCAGGAGGAGGAGCTCTTTGCCAACATTCTGTCTGGTGCAGAAAAGGTCAGAGGTCAACGATCGGAGGCTTCAGAGGGTCATCCTGTGGACGTCCTGCTGCTGCTTTTATAATGAGAGCTGGACTTCTTTTAGTCCTTCTCCTCATTTTCCTTTCAGCACCTCAAAGGATTAATCAGAGACTTTTAGATTTGGGTTGGAAATGAGGCGGCATGCATCCTTCTCCTCCCTGTGACCTGAATGCAGCAGCAGCTTTCCTCCCTCTTCATAAGAGCTACCATGGGATCAGATCAAACACATGTCCTCTGCGGCCGAGGCAATGAAAGAGAAACCCACAAACAAATGAATTAGTAATCACAAAGGGCAGAAAAACACAAGGAGCCGTTAAAATAAGTGCTCCAAGCACTTTTTATTTGTAATATTCTGTTGCCGTTCTGTGCTTCTTATAATCTTATGCATATTCTGGGAAACAAATCAATTCCCTGATCTCATTACAGCCATGTTCATTGTTCTATTACTGATTAGGAAYGACAGAAAATGGCTTCATTTGTTGATTTTTGTGTGCAAAAATTGGATGTACGTTATTCCCACCAGGCTGGATGCCTTTACGAGTGAAAACACCTGATTGTTGCTGGCTGATGTACTTTCTCTGCTCTCTTATCCACCRAATAAAACATAAAAACACCAGGAAAACCTCTGATAAAAACCAAAACAGTCCTTAAAGCAGCAGTAAGGTGATTGTCTAAAGAATATGTGCATCAGGATTAAAGCTGCAGCATTCAGAGGATAAAATCTGTCTGAAAGCACTTTGAATGCTGCGAGTGTTTCTGAGGAAACAGGAGGAAACAGACGAGCTGCAGAGCGATTCATCGACTCCTGCTGCTCCTGCTTACGTCTCTGCTGAGCCATGTCAATCAACTTTAATTGCACATTAAGTTCTGCTTGTGATGTTGGCTGGGAGGTCATTAATTCACATGAAGGACACCTCCGTAATAGACTGGAGTGGCGTAAATACAGTTTCTGTTGGTTTGCAAAGAGCTTAGCAAGCAGCSAGCGTTCCTCGTGCTTTGATTTGATGCTAAGTGCTTCATCAATCACAATCACAGACAGATCATTAAGAGGCTCTGAGGACGACATGACCAGCTCAACTATCTGCAGCAGGTTGCTCCAGACCACCTCTCAAACCTTTAATTACAGCCAAGGTGGGCAGAATTAAAGACACGGAGATAAGAGCCTCGCTCCATACAAGCTGTTAGTGTTAGACTGGTTCTGTGCAGCTGGTTCTGTGCAGCTGGTTCTGTGCAGCTGGTTCTGTGCAGCTGGTTCTGTGCAGCTGGTTCTGTGCAGCTGGTTCTGTG